GAGAGAGAGGGAGAGATTGTGTGTTTAAAGAATAAAATGGAGGGTGCTACCTGAGCCTAGGTAACTCCAAAAATATTTTAATCTGTGCTTGATTTCTTTCTACATTGCAATCATCGGTTAACTAATTTTCATGCCTGTAAGTTTGATGGTAAATGCCTTCAAGAGTCGATTCTCTAATACGCTGTCCCAGTATTTGGGGAATAGAATTATCACGTATTGATTCTGACCCTGTGTAGGAACTTAAACTGTTTTTGGTGAATAGGAGGCAGAATTATGTACATACAAGACAGCTTTCCTAGGAGTTCAGCTTTTTTTTTTTTAAGACCTTTGGCCAATAGCCTAGCCTCCCCCTGGCCACTCTGGAGGATAGAAATAATTTAATTTCCTTGAGTTCCTAGGATCAACCAGATGATCTCTTCATAGTGCTTCTACCTCTGAATTTTATCTTACTTTTGTTTTTAAGATCTGTACATGGAAGAGGAGAAGCCTCAGTGGGATACATGGTGCTGGCCCTAAACGAATCCAACAGCTTCTCCCTTCACCAATCATTTCCTCCCATTCCTCCCCCAGGTCCTGGGGGGAAGATCAGATGCCATGTCCAGCTTTTAAAACTCCTCTACCTATTTCTGTGGTTGGCCCAAAGCTCTTCCCCTAAATCTAGGCATAATATCTCCAAGAGGTCTACACTGCAGTTTCCTCAGCCCAAGCTAGCTAGTGATACCGCTCTGTATGTACTCTAGTGTCTTTCTCCTTTGTCCTATTCTTTCTGTTCACAGTACCCAGGTTTTTGCTACCTCTTGCCCAATGGAATAGGTCCGAAAGCAGTCATTCCAAATTTTGATGTGTGGTGTGTAATCTAACTCTACCCAATTTGCTCCGCCACTTATAACTGCTCAATGCCCCCTTGCAGTGTATCAGGGGCATTGCAGACTCTTCTTCATGGCATTCAGAATCCCACAAGATCTTGCTCCAAATTATGTTTGGAGCTTTCTCGCCTTAGTACCCTTAATTTACACTATCTTCAACCCAAATGAGAACTAACTGCTATTGCCTGCCTGCTGCGTCCATTTGTCTTCATCTGCTTCTTCCACTTGGAATGCTTCACATCCTTCCAGTTGATGTTCACTGGCACTTGTTGTAAATTTACAAATTGTCATTGCTTGGAATGAATTTGGCTTAACGAATGCTGATTAATAAATGAGTGTTTCAGGTGTCTGCCTGGAGCAATGTAACAGTTCAATTTTTGCTGGTAACCTAAGGCGATACTGCTATTTAAAAAGTTTTTGAAGGTTAAGAATAAGGGGAAAGGTATATTCCTTAAAAATGAGAAATTCACTTGTTACACTTAATCATTTTTTGGTATGGAATATTTAGGCAAGCAGTGCATCTATATTGGGTAGGGGCATGATTATGCAACTGTACTGACTAATCCTTGATTTTTTAATAGGGATAGATGGGGGTGGGCAAACAACCTTAATTCAGCTATACTCCCATACTAGTCCCTCTGTCAAAAGTCCTATCCCTTTTTAGCATCACTATGTTTTCTTTTTTAAGACCCCAGGTTTTCTTTATCAAGAAACTTTGCCTGACATCAAGCAGAATGATTCACTCTAGGATTCCTATAGCATCTATCCCATCCACAATTCTTTTTTATTTTTTTTATTTTTTATTCCTATTACAACTCAGATACTATGCTGAGAGCTGGGGTTATCAAGATGTGTAGAACGATCCCTGACTGCAGGTCCTGCACAATCCAATGGGAGAAGGAAACTGTTAGGCAAAATACCTTAATACAAGTTTTTGAAGTAGACTCTTTTTACCCTGTGTGAACTACGAGTCCAGTGCCATGGAAGAGGAAAAGAGTGAGGACTTAATGATTCCAAGGTCAAGGGGCTCCTTCCAGGGCAGGAAACCTTTCACCTGAGCCGTGGAGGATGAGGTGTGGGAGGGGAGGAGACAGTGGCATGTTCAGGAATGCGGAGCTGCCTGATCTGACTGGAGCTTGGGGTGCATGGGAGAAATGGACGTGATAGGATATGAGGAAGAGTAGCTCAGGGCCAGGAAGGGAATGGGCTTAAAAATCAGGCCAAGGAGTTTGGGCTTTGCCCAGTATTTAAAGGAAAGGCATCTGAGGTATTTTAAACATCATAGTAAAATTTTGAGACACATCTTTTAAAAAAATAACTTGGATAGTATGATGAAGTGTAGATTGGTAGGAAAGATGGAAATTAGAGATAAAAATTCAGTAACTTTCTGAATGGACCCATAGGTATTTTGTATTTCCCTTAAGACATTTAATACATATATATTTTTTTGTAATTAGAGTCATTTGTGCATATATCTTCCCTTTTAATAATGCTTCCTAAAGTTGGGCCTCAAGGGGCGTTTTGAAAGACTGAAAGGGTTTACTAGCAACTATTCCTATCTGAAACACTCAGGAATTCTGGAGAGTTTCATTTATAGCACGAACTACTCAGTAGTTAAGTCTTCTTTAATTCTTTCCAGATGTCAGAGGAGATAGGCATTAACAAGCATTAAAACACATTAACAATCTGTATATTTAAAATCAGAATAGCCATAGTTCATAGGTACCATTCTGAGTTTATACCATGCTCTGAGCACTATGCCAAGCATACACATTGCCTCCCTTAATATTTTCAGTAAGTGGTATTAAACCCATTTTACAGATATGCTGAGGCTCAGACAATTTAACTTAGCAGATCACACACATGGTGAGAATGTTTGGATCCTCCATGATGGTCATCTTGGTCTTTTTCTGTACCTTGACCTTGTTCCTTCATTAGAAAAAGAAATGTCCTTTTGCAATTAACTCTCCTTGGAATGCTCTTTCCCCAGACATTCGCAGAACTGACCTCTTCAGCTCTTAGCTTAGCTGTCACCTCCTCAAAAAAGTCTTCATCGATCATTCTAGCTAATGTTGCTCATTTCTCTACTTTGCTTTCGTCATAGTATATCATTATCTAAAAACTATTTCCTTTTTTTTTCTGTCCCCTAAGTTAGAATATAAATTTATGAGATCAAGTTTTTTGAATATCCTATACACTTTTGATTTATATAATCACAGCATTTTAGAACAGTTTCTAGAACTTAGTACACATCCAGCAAATATTTATTCAAGGGATGGTTAAATGAATGAACAAATGTCTCCAGGCCCATGCTTGTTCTTCTATTTCATCGCCCTAAGATGTTTTCTTTCTGCTACCTAGCACACTGGAGGGGCATTGGTTGACCAGAAAACTCTTCAGACTGTGTACCTGTGACCCAGACTGGTTAACTTTTAAAAACCAAGTATTTACTCGCTAGAAAAAGAAACCCACAGATCATCCTCTTTCTCATCAGTTAAGATTGCTTGATTATATCTAAACTTATACTTCATGCAAAGTACCTCGAATGTATGATTAGAAGTGAACAATTCTGTTAAGTTATTTAGGATTTCACCTTTTCTTATTGCATTCTTGTTGGCTGATTTTTTGTAGAAGAATATTGGAAGTTACATAAAATAGACATTGTTCTGGGCTAGTTTCTGTTTTTTCTTAAAGCAACAGCTATGTTAAAATAAAATGCCAGTCTATCTAATAAATTAGTGAATTCTTATTATCTCCATGTACAAAATAACAGTCCTGGGAGGGCAAATTCTTTCATTCTTTTCTCAAACTACATTTTTCTTTTGTGGTTTCGTATTGGCTTTTCCAGAAGTGTAATTTTTCTTTGTCTTGGTGGAATCTGAGATGACTGGCTTTGCCAGTAGAATATTAACCTCTTCTTTTCTCACTGCCCCATATATCTAGGAATAGCTGGCTGATTAACTCCTAAGTTAGAGAGGGTGGCCTGTGAAGGAAATTTAAGTACATTTCTCAGTGTTCTGTGAAGTTACATGATCATAGCTGAGCTAATTAACTTTATTAAAATTGTATAAAGGCGTTCATATGATTCTAAACTACAGAAGAGGCAAAACAATTTGAAAGCAACCTGCCCTTTACCTTGATCCCAACCTTCTCTGAAAGCCATGGTGTAATGCCAATGAACAGAATAATGGTTGACGAGCAAAATTTTAAGGCATTCTAAATATCACTGGTTGGTTTAATAAAATTAATTAGCCTGCCACAGAGAAAATTTACTAGCGTGCTGGTTAATTTCACAATGTAAAGTCAGAGAAGGGAGGTGGGGTTGAGGGAACAAACCTTATTAGTTTTGAATAATTATTTAAAGATGTGGAGCTGCCCATTTCAAACACTTTGATTGCCAAATCCATTAAGGCTTTAAAACTCCATGTTTATATCCTGGTGTATATGGGAAGGAATCTCTCTAGATGAAATTATAAGCATATTAGTTAACAGCTAAGTGACTTATTAAAGATACAGAACAACAAGTAGAATCCTAATAAAACCATGGGAATGAGAATTTGCCTTAAGACTGACTCATGGGAGGTTTCCATAATCTTAATTTGCCATTGATGCAATTATTGCGTTTTCTTGTCTTTTTAATCCAAGCAAGATGTTTGCAGTGGCCATGGAAAGGTGCCTGAAATCACATGCCTGAATTCATTTAATTTGCCAACATTGTCTTTTTTTTTTCCCTCTTTCTTCCTGGTAATGGGCAAGAGTCAGTTCTGGTGCATTAGGTACTAAATCTCTTCAATTACCAGCCAGGAAGAAAGATTTAAAATTGTGCTTCAAACCTACAAACTGATTTAGTTTTAAAGCACATACGCTTCTCCTGGGGAGCCTAAATTAAACTGCAGAAAGGACCCAGAGCTTGGGGAATTAAACCAGGCAGGGTCAAGGCTCAGACCAGCAATAGCAACCATTTTGGTTTCTTTCACTGGGGCCCCCCTAGTGCAAAAAGGAAAGGGAGCAGCAACGTGCTGAAAGACGCAACTTGTGTATGAAAGTGCAATCTTATATTGCTTGAAATCTAAGGTGCAGAAGTGTAACCAGGCCCTTTATTTTTTCTTCTGTTTCTTTTTGGGTGCTTGGCAGCCATTTTCAATGTGGATGACTCTGTGGTTGACCTGGAGACCCTGGCAGCCTTGTATGAAAACGTGAGTACCGAAGACATGGCGCACCAGTTTCCAGATTTCCACATCTTTCCTAACCAAAACTATTTCAAGGTCTAAAACATAGTTACATGTGACTCCTTCCACCTAAAGAATTACTGAGCTATTCATGTTCTTTGGCAGTAAGGATTTTGACACAGCATGAAAGAGGGTAAGGCGCAGAAACACAAGCCCAGCCACGAGCGGTCATGAGAAAAGCACTAGGTCCCTGACCCCTTCTGTGGTATTGGGGTTAGTAGAGCTCTTGGTACACCTACAGGGGAGGTGGGTCAAGGTGGAGACCACTTCTGTGTCACAGATCCCAGCCCTGTGGCTTGCTGTCAGAGTTAATAAGGTAAGCTACTGGGTTCGTGTTGGTATACACCAGTGTCCTCCTCTGAGGGGTGGGAATGCTAATACCAGCCTGGATGATTGTTTTCAGTCCAAATGAGCTGATGGTGTGGAACGTGGAAAGTAATAGAGCATGTTGGGTGTGTGTTTTAGATTTAGAGTCAGACGGTCTTAGGTTTACCACTGACTGCTGAGTGATTTGGGGCCTGTTAAACTCTTTATGCCTGTCTGGTCATCAGTACAATGGGAACTATTATATAATGAGCTCTACCTGACTTTTTATGAGTATTAAGAGATAATTTAATACATGTAGCAGTAGCAATGTATTTTGAAAATAAACCACACTGTACACATAGATGGTCTTTAAATTTGGGTTATTTGAGGAAGCACAGTTGGTAGGCTCTCTTGAGAAGATTCACAGGCGAGGCAAGAATTCCTATAATTATTGACTGTTCTGGTTCACTGACTCTGTGGGGATTTGAAAATACATTGAATAAGATTCTCTTTACTGAAGAAATGTTATTTCCCAGGAAGCTGCCTGGAGCTCTGTAGTGTGAATGGTCACTGAGCTCAACAAATGATTCATTTCAATACTATGTCCCCTGGGACCGTAGGTGTCTTACAGACTATTCACATAGTGGAATAATCCAGCCTAGTGGGATTGCCAGTTCCCTCCACAATTTTGCATCCTTCCGTTATGTACATCAGGAGCTGTTGAGCATGCGTGGGTGGGAACTTCTCACATTTCCATCAGTAAGGCTTTCATTAATAGACAAGAAGGCCCACGAATACCAGGATATCAGGAGCTGATGGGGCATTTGTTGCGTTTCTGGAGGGCAGCATAGTATCGTGGGAGAGAGATTCCGAGGCAGGCCCTTTTAGCAGGTCCTTAGCATAAGCCTCAGCAGAATCTCCTGTAACATGAATATACAGTAATTGTGTTGAAGAACTTTGTAAAAGGCAAGGTACCTTCCAGAGGCTTTTTGTTGTTACCATGGACCCAGGGCTGTGCACATGCTTGGTACTTGTCAGCTCACAGTAGAGATAAGCTGCATACAACTCAAAGAGTTGGATAAATTGAGAAAGTAGGGGACTAACTGCCAAAATAAGCAGTACGGACAAAATTAATTACAAAATTTAGAAAACAAGAAGATGGTGACTGACCAGAAATACAAAAAAGTCAGGGGCCTGCATAAGCTAGGAGGGCTGTTGAGGGCCAGGAAGCAAATGCTGAGGACATCTTGACCCATATCTGCTTATTGGCAAAGAGAGAGGACCCCAAGTTAGCAATCCAGTGTCCTGGCTTCTGTATCCAGCTAATGTCACACATTAGGACGATTCGTATTCGCCAGTGGTGCTCAAACGTTAGCGTGCATCAGAATCTGTTGGGGGCTTGCTGGGCCTCACCTCAAGTTTCCTAAGTCTGAGGTGGGTCAGCAGTTTGCATTTCTAGCTAGTGACAGTTGGTACTGATGCTCCCGGTCAAGAGGCCACACCCTTTAAGACACGTTGCTTTCGACAGATTCTCCTTGTTCATGTTTTGTGTGTTTCGTTTTGTTTCTTTTTGAACACAGAGAGCCCAAGAGGATGAGTTGGTTAAAATAAGAAAGTATTACGAGACATCCAAAGAAGAAGAGCTGAAGCTGCTGGATAAACCTGAGCAGTAAGGGCACTTGAACGCTTTTCTGTTGGGCCAAAAGGAGACGGCCGCTCTCTGTCATCCCGCCTCCCAGCTCTGAATAATCACCTCTAGGTTGTGCAACGAGCTAAGCCTCAGCTCCATCATTCCCGTGACCTATTGTGTACAGCAGGATGGCCTGACTGCCGGGAAAAGCAGCCGGGAGATTGGCGCTGCTGGATAGAATATGTCTCAACCCCTTTCCCCACTCCTCGTGATTCCCCTTTCTTGTTCTAGCAAGTTGTTAATTCCTCCTAGACTAAACACTCTGGCCAGAGGGGTAACTGAGGAAGGAAGAAGTCATCGCTCTGTCTAAGGTTCTGCTGATCAGTTAAAAAAAATGATGTCAGAGTCATAGCATGGAAACTGATTTTCCTAAATGTCGTTATCCAGTAAATGTAGCCCGAATGTGCCAGGCTTTCCCAAGTTTCCCCACCTGCTCTGCCTGGTTTAGACGAGACTTTTTCACCCTCTCTTGGCGTGCATTGTTCTTCTCTCCATTCGCTCTCTAGAGTTGTTTGCTCTGTAGTTTGGGGTGTTGTTCCACACCCTTTGAAAACCCAGAACTCTAATGTGTAACTAAATGACTCATCCTTGGCTGGGCTCCTGGGGTCTGCAAACCACAGATAAGCTTCTGAGGCTCTGCAGGCCCTGGGCCAGTTTCTCATGGCTCAGGACTCTGAGAGAGTGTGAAATGGGTCCCGAGTGGACAGAGGGCTCCTTTGCCTGTTGCTATCTTGGATGCTTCACGTTCAATTTAGGCCACCCCTCTCAGCCCAGAGATGAGGCAAGGGTGGGAAACAAAGAGAAAATTGAGTGATAAAGCTTAGGGTAATAAGTCAGCCCTGGAGACACTCAAGGGCTGTGGCTTGTACTGAAAGCTACCTGCCTTGCCCTTGAGTACTCTGGAATGTCCCTCTCCCCGTGGATGCCTGGCATTTAGGTCCAGAAAAACATTCCCTAATGGCTGGGCAAGGGATTTCTAGGTTTGTTCCGTTAGTGACAAACCTTCATGATAATTCTGGGAACCTTGGGTTCTTAGGTGAATTGTTCTCACACACAGCATAAGTCGGGAACCACCCCACCCCATCCCAAAGTTAGTTCATGAAGCCTAGGAATATTGTGAATCAATGCAAATGGGGTTCCACTGCCCGTCTCTTCCATCAGCTTGAACTACCTTCCTTAGCAGCTCTCACCCCTGACAGATCTATGGTCCACTCCTAAGTCAGATTTTCTAACATAATGAATTAATCCCTACTAATGCGCTCATCACTGAAAATTAAGTGACTAATGGTGGGATATTTAGACACTGACAAGGCCATGGGGAATATTTGAAGGCTGTCTTAGTTTGGGCTGCTATAACAATGTGCTCTAAACTGAGTGACTGATAAACATCAGGAATTTATTTCTCACAGCCCTGGAGGCTGGAAGTCTAAGATCAGGATGCCAGGAAGGTCAGATTCTGGTGAGAGCCCTTCCAGGTTGCAGACTGCCCACTTCTCTTTATATCCTCTCATGGCAGAAAGCAAAGAGAGGAAGCAAGCTCTGTGTCTCTTTTAAGAGCATAAATTCCACTCATGAGGGCTCCACCCTCGTGACCTAATTACCTCTCAAAAACCCTACCTTCTCATACCATCATACTGGGGGTTAGGATTTCATCATATGGATTTTGGGGGACACACAAACATTTAGTCCTAAACAGGGACAATAGGGCATATTAAGAATTGGGTAGTGCCAACTATGCCTCATTGAGAAATCATACTCTAAGCCTAGAGTTGGCAAACTGTGCCTATAGAGGACCAGATAGTAAGTATTTTAGGCTTTGTGGGCCATGGTATCTGTTGGAGCTATTCAAGCCTGATGTTGTAGTGCAAAAGCAACCATAGACAATACGTAAGCAAATGGGCGTGACTGCGCACCAAAAAAATTTTATTTATGGACACTGAAATTTGAATTTTATATCATTTTTACATGCCATGACTTGTTATCCTTCCATCAATTCTTTTTTCAGCCATTTTAAATGTAGAAAACATTCTTAGTTGATGGGCCATACAAAAACAGGAGGGGGGTTGAATTTGGCCTGTGGACTATAATTTACAGCCTGTGCTCTAAGCTATGGGAGCGGCCAACTCAGTGAAAGGAAGTTCTGCTATCAGAAGTGTCCCCCTTTTCCTTTCGTGTTAATGCCGTTCTAGCATTGTTTTTCAAGATTAATTGCCAGCACACAGAATAATGGTGGCAGGTAATTGACATGTAACTTATTATTCCTGTTTTCTCTACTGATGATCTGGATGGAAGGGCATTTTTAAAGTTTGCATATAGTCATCGTAATGGCCTCCTGAGCATGCTAAGTTATTACTGACAGCAGAGAGGCCTGTTGTGTTGTCCTGGTGAGGTGATGTACTTGGGCTTCGTTGCTGGAGGGTGAGGTGCAGAGAGCGGGGGACTCAGGCCTGAGTGAGTTTCACCTTTGCTTTTGACCTCCTGCACAGTGCAGCATTTGTTCGATTTATGCCAGAGTCTGATTTTCTGGCAACTTATTTGCCATCAGCTCCAAGTTAGTTGACTACAAGCACGTTTTACGTACTGGAAAATATGAATCATTTATAGTTTCGGCATTACAATTTCCTAAGAACCCCATGGCGCCCAGCCCTATAAATCATAGCATGGAGAGGTTGGCTTCATCACTCACCTCATCAGCTTTCTTACACCCCAGTGCCAGGTTTAGAAAGCCATTTCCCATAAAGGTGTCATCTGCCTGGGACCTGGCTGTCTGAGAGCTACTAGCTACTCCCTTCAGAGATGGCCCTCCACTCTTTACACTGTGCCTTGGGATGGTGGTGATGTGAGGTGAGGTTCTACTGGGTTTCATTAGGCCTGATGCAAGCTTTTTGTAGTCTAGAGTGAGGATACCATATACAGCCTATTGTGGGATGTTCCACTAGGGTCCCCACTGCCGTGGGACTCCAACAAAGAAGACACACTGACTTCTGAAACACAGCTCTGTGAGTGTACTCCTCTATGGAAGAACACAGGTTAAATAGGAAATTATGCTGTGTACACAGCCTCTGTGTGCACACACGCCCGAGATAATACCACTTGGGGGTTTAGGGGGAGATAAACCAAATGTTAGTCCCTTAAAAACAATGAACCACATTGCTTCATTCCACCTGTCAGCTGCGTTGCTGTTGTGGATGAGCAACCCACACCACGTGAGATACAAAACTTCTCTCCCATATTCAGGCTGAAGCTGCAACGCTTCCTGGGAAAATAAACCTGCATTGGGGAAAGACCCCTAGTATGTGGCTTCTTCAGTGGGCATTTAGTCCTTTCTATTACTAGCCCTAGGGTATAAAGTTAGACTAGTTAGAAGGAAATCAGTTTATAAATATTTGTTAAGTACCAAGGCCCAGGGTCCAAGACCAAGAGTTCATATCCCTGCCCTTATGGGCAGCGAATAAAACACAGTTGGGGGATAAGATATTTATCAGACACTGTCTCACAACCTTTGAGGTTACTGATACTTTTGATACTTTCCCAGATAAATGGGGAAGGAGCTATGGTGCTCTTCCTGAAGGCTTTGCATGGCTATTTTTGGACAGAAAGTGACATAAAATCATATATATATATATTTTTTTACAAATTTCCTTCTTCATTATATCGTGTCTTCACATTTCATCTGGTGTCCAAGCCCAAAACCTGTAAGTGATCCTGGATGCTACTTAAAATTTGGGATTGGTCAGTTATTCTGGCTCTTGGTCCCTTAGTGTTCTCATCCGTTTGCCCTCTGCGTTCATACTGCAGGCCCTCTTACCTTCCCTCTTAGTCCTGCAGCTGCAGTCTTATAGGCCTCTAAGCCTCACATCTGCTATCACCCCCAATCCATCAGCCAAGCCACGGCCATGGCAATTTTCTAAAACAAAAAGCTGAAAGGATCACCTCTCTATCTAAAGTCCTTCATTCGCTCATTCAGAAGTTTATGCTATTTTGGAACACCAAGCCGCATTTTAGCATCTGACTCCTACTCACTTCACCCACATGTATCATTCAGCCTGTCTAGGCCTGCCTGGCAGCTTCTCCCATGTGCCCTGCAAAGCACCAGAGAGCTCCAGGAACCCTTGGCTGATACTGTCCCTGTGCGTGGCTTCTGTAGCTCCGATGACAGACCCCGTCACTGATAGCACACATCACACCCCATGGTAATGGCTGGCTTATTTCTCAGGTTATCAAGAAGGGACTGCATATAATTTAAACTCTGTTCTCAGGTCTTAGCATGGTGCCTGACAAACTGTAAATGCTTCATACGTGTGTAAAGGACTGACTAAAGTCAGCCTTGGTGACTGATGCTCTGGTATTGACTTTCAGTGACACATTTCCCCCAGTTCTATCCAGAAGTAGTGTAAAATTCCTGAACTTTCCCCCCCCCCCACCCCCCATCCCCACTGCCCAGCTCTGGCTATGGGTATCAGATCCCTCTCTGTACACAGGACACTGGCTCTTTAAGATTCTCTGTCAGCCTTCCTAGTGGAAGTCCTGACCCCAGACAGGCTTCAATCCCAGAGAGCCTTGCAGTTCTGTTTTACTCTCTCCTGGGTAACATAAGCTGGTGAGCCTGTGGGCTTGTTCCCTCGTACTGGTCTTAAATCATCTGTTTTGAGAGTAGTTCTAAGTAATTGTTCACCTAGCATTTCCTCCTTTTCATCTATGTCCTTGTGGGTGAGTTGAGGCATTGATCTGTATATTCTCTCACACCGTCCCCATAAATGCTTCACTCACTGTGTTCTTTTAAACTAGGAAGTGTGCAGGGCTCTGGGGATCTGGGTCCTACTTACAGAATAGTGTCTCATGGTCACATTTGGAAGGGGAGAAATGCAGGACGCTCCCCTGAGGTAGCTCGCAGAAGCCTCTGAAAAAATAAAACTCCCCAGGGACCAAATGCCCCTAGTCCCACAAGCTTTTTACTGCTCGTATTTGTGAAAACTGGTGGTACCCTTGATTACAGTTGTAAATGAATTGATGGTTTAATACTAATTTTATGAAGAAACAATTTACATAAAAATATAATTTTTTTCATCTTGTCCTAATTCAGAATTCCTATGTGTTTTTACTTTTATGTCCATGGTTTTCATTATAATCATTTACAGTAAACTTTAAAACAAAGATGTATTTTCTTTATGGTCATTCGTTGCTTCATCTCAGTGTCATTAGAAAAAAAAAGAAAAGAAAAGGATATGACCTGGTTGTAGGATAAATAAGAAAAATAGCTGATAATTAGAATCTTATTGAAATCCACAGCTCCCTAAAATAAAGCAACAGAGGCGAAGAATATAAGCTAAGGAAATTTCTTTGGGTATGGAAAGAAGGAGGCTCCAGCTTTGCTCCTTTGTGGAAAAGCGTTCTTGGGGAGAGATTGCAATATGTCAAAGTAATGATGTTATGAGTTAACCAAGACTTTCAGAAATATCAGGTAATAATCATTTCAACCCCAAAATAAATTTAATAGCTGTTAGTGGATTCTCTCCTTTTCTGAATTCATGTCCAACTCTTTCCACCCGTTTTAGTTTAAACCCCTTCCTCTGGTGATTGGCTTGGAGAGTATGTAGCTCTTCCAACTTAATTTTGCAAAGGGCACCAGTGCCCAACTGCTCAGACAGTGAGCCTCTGTGTGTAAGTTAGTACTCACCCTTAGCTTTTAAGATCTGTCTTGCCATAGTTTTTAAGAAGCTTTAGATTTGTCCACTTACTGAGTGCCTTCTTTGTTCCAAGCATTGAGCTATGAGCTCTGTCTTTATGGGTAAGTCGATGTGGAAAAATAAACAAATATCTATAGAATAGGGACATTATCGACTGTTATCTAACTCATTGATAAAAAAATAGAAGTAATGTCACTTCAGGAAGAGACTTTTAATGACTTGTCTATGGACATTTGCCTCGAGTCTTCGCTTTACTCAATCTGTAAATACATCTGTAGACATTCCTGCATTAAAAAGGGAGTTTATTGTGTATTTTTTCTCATACACTAAAAATTAACACCTTGCATTAGGTCTTAGTCTCCTATTTGGATAGCAGGAGATAGATAACTTGTTGTGGTTTTGTGTAATTGCATTGACTTTCTGTTCCTAAAGTAATTTATAACACCATGCATTTATTTACCATCATAGAAACCATCTTAAAAAGTAGCTTTGTTGTCAACAGTAGAATACATTCCTTTGGAGTTGCTTGTCAGCCTACCTGATAACTTTTATCAATTGTTAAATTAACATTCTCAAATAAGGAATGCTCTCAGGGTGGATCTTTCTCAGCTGTCTTTGTATTTTCCTAGTTATTGATAGTATGAGAAGCTAGATGAGTCCCTTTTCATTTTCACAGGTTTTTACATGAGTTAGCCCAGATCCCGAATTTTGCTGAACGTGCCCAGTGTATCATCTTCAGATCTATCTTTTCCGAGGGTATCACCTCCTTGCATCGAAAGGTAGAGATCATCACGCGAGCTTCTAAGGTATGTTGCTGACTAATTTAAAAAGATCACTTCATGCTTATTAGGAGTAGGAAGTGGGGAAGGCGAGAATGAGCTCGGGTCCCTTTGCCAAAACCTCTTGGACTTAAGGGTGTATGTTTTTCTAAGTATAGCTGTGATGATTGTCCTGCCTAAGTGTGAGTGTGTGTGTGCAAGCAGGTGAGGTGGGGGTGGGTGAGGGAGAGACAAAAGAGGAGAAGGAGGGAAAAAATGATATTTTTTACAGATTTCTTCTCAAATATTCCAAATACCTTCTGACATACATATGGGCCACTTAAAACCAACCTAAAGAGTATAGTTTGTTTTCCACTGGGCTGTCTGGATTGCAAGAGAGATTTCTGCCTTAGACCCATGAATGTGATCGTCTGAAATGTGTCTGGATAGTGCAGTTAAAAGATTCTAGAGATTTGATAAAGGCAGTAAATGATTATGATAATGAGCAATGGGCAAATAAAGTTTTGTTGGCTTTACCACGCTGGTATCCATTATAAAAATTAAATTCTATACTTGGCTTTTTCTCACAATGACCCATGTCCTTAAGAACATGATAATCCTCTCCACAAACACTGTAGCATGTAGTTGCTTATCTGAAGGCATGCTTGTTTTTTCTTTCTAAAATATAAAAGGTTCCAATAAAGAAAGCATAAATACTACCAAAGTATACTATATACCTGGTAGTAGCACCCTGAAAATCAGGAGCAGAAGTTGGCCTAGAGCTGCAGCTGGCTTTCTTTTCCTTATAATACAGGAAGGTAAAGTCAACTAAGACTGCAGAGAAAGGAAAAAAAGAATCAATTTGAAAATTTGCACTTGGAGGAAAAAAAAAAAAAAAAGGAGAGGAAAAACAAATGAGTTGGAGAGCCGAAGAAAGCCCTAAGCAGCTTGAAATTGTAAAAGTTAATAGACATATCCACAAACACTTAATAAACATAGCCTCTGGTCTTGAAACACATTATTGTAGCTCACCTCTAAGGATTATACCCAGGGATAAGGAAGAATAGACCTGCTGTTATAGCTACCCTACATTTAACTGTACTGTTTACATAGATGTATTGTCCAAAAATACATCCTCAAATGATATTAAACCCCTTTCTACTTAGAAGTCATCAAATATGAAGCCTAACTATGCAACTCTGTTTTTTTTAATTTATAAATACTTTAAAATAAGTATTTAAAAAAGTTAAAACTGGCTCAAATGGAAATATAAATACTAATAGTTAATCCTCAATATTAAAACATGCACAGTTGGTGATTCATTGAAAGGATAGAAAATGATGGTTTTTAATGTATTTTTTTAAGGCACACATGGCTTATAAAGTGTATTTTCCAGTTCACCAACTGTTAACCTGATTGGTAACAGCCTATTGGGTGCTCAATAAATACCTGTTGTTAGGTGAGCACAGGTACAGTTGGAATCCCGCTCCATCATAATTGGTGTTTCCCATCATAGGGCTTGCTGCACATGAAGAGTGTGAAGGATATTTTAGCTCTCATTCTGGCTTTTGGAAATTATATGAATGGAGGAAATAGGACTCGGGGACAAGCAGATGGATACAGCTTAGAAATTCTGCCCAAACTCAAGGACGTCAAAAGTCGGGTATTTATTTATTTTTCATAATGAATGTCTATGATCTACCATTATTTTCCTTGTATACCTTTAATTTAAAACAAGAAAAAGTATTTCTGATTGTTCCATTCATCTCTATCCTCCCTCTAACAATATATTTTTTCATGGCTCTCTTTTGACTTTTGAATAAAGATAGATATGTTTGTTTTTTTTTATGTTTGGTCTTATGTTGATGACAAAATTCCCAATATTTGTTTGCAATAAAATACACAGTTAGCTGCTGAACTGCAATGAGGGAATAAGACAGCCTACAGTGTTAGCCATAGCACAAGGCTTGAGTGTGCTTGAATTCAGTGATGGCTACTTGTAATGTACTCATTCCTGAGCAGGGAGCAATGTTGAGTCACCGTCAGAGCTGAGCATTGGATTTATTCTTTTGCCCACAACAATTGGGCAGGGCGTCTACTGTCAAACTCTCTGAGCCTGATGATCATTTGGCTCCACACCCCTGCAGAGCTACCTCTTTAGAAACCACCAGCCCATACCTAGGCATCCTGCGAGGGGGGGGGGCAGGGGCAGGGGGAGTGGAGAGAGGGGAAAGCACAGGCAAATTAGAATTAGACCCATGTGAACAGGACTCAAAGGCTGCCTTGTGGGAGGGCCTGCTTACTCCTGGCCTCCCAGGGTCATAAAGTGGCACGGCATTCCTTTTAAGCTGTCCTGATTGTTTTTCACGCCACTAAGAACACACATCTTTTGAAAGTGGGAAGGGAGGGATGGTTTTCTGTTCTAGTCCCTGGTTCCCTTTAGCACTCTCCAGCCCCCTCCTGCCTTGGTTTTATGCCAGAAAATGTTGAGACAGTATTTTGTTTGTTTGTTTGTTTTAGCTCAGAGGTTTTATGGATTATCTGTTTGGGTTCCCCCCTACCCCCAAAACAGAATAGTGTCCTTTCTTTGTATAGATACCATAAAAAATGGATGGGACAAGGAAGAGAGAGGAAAGTCTTGCCAATCTCAAACAGAACTAGGACCAGGTATCACAAATTAAAAATGTTAGGGTCACAAACTGAGATTTCAGATCTCAACTGTATAATACGGCAGAGTCTCATGTGAATGATTTTCATTTAAGCTTCTCCTTTAAACCTAGGATAATGGGATTAATCTGGTGGACTATGTCGTGAAATACTACCTGCGTTACTATGATCAGGTAAGAAATGGCATTACGTGGAAAACTACACTGAAGGGGTTTCAACTCTTACACATTGTTGGCATTCAGAAATTGGATGATGGATGGATGGATGAATTGCAAGTTCAACGTAGAATCTGAGAGCTATTCAAGCCTCCTTGGTTTACAGATGGGAGCACTGAAGCCAAGAGAGTTTAGTTGACTCTTGTAAAGAGAAGCATTATTCAGTGGCACAAATCTACTAATTCTCAATCCACCGTATAACACAGCTTCAGAAAGATCTGCAACTGTCTCAGTGCCTTCTGACCAGGTTGTGAGGGGCTCTGTGAAATCTATATCATTCAGTAGCTGGTTACATTTGAAACTAGATTCTGGGATGCAGACCAAAATTTAGGAAATTAATATTCCGTAATACCCCCAAACTTTATCGGTAGTGTTCATCTGTAAACAAGTTGAAGATGTGGAATTTGAAATCCCTCCTCTCTGCTTAAATTACGTTTGCAATTAGAAATAAAAATTTCTGGGAGAAGCTACCTGAGCACAATTCTCTGTGTTTTATTCCTTCCCCTTAAATTGAGAACAAGGAGTCCTAACTTTGAGAAGAAAGAGGTACTGTTGTAAGTTGTTGAGAAATCTAGCAATCAATATGAATGGAAAAAGTCTCAGGAAAATGTCAGGACTCCTGCGTAACTATCCCTGTAAGCAGAGTTTTTCCTAGGTACCGAGGGAAGCAAAGCAATGATTCCAGGGCCGTACTTTCAAAAGGCCTACAATTTTATCTAGAAGAAAAGCTAAGCACTAATGACGTCTATAGTCATCCCTCCTACCCTTTTGGTGGGTTTATCTAATTGTGCTCACTGTAACAATAACCAGCTTCTCATCTCATCCCATCCCATCCCAGCTCCATGCCCCCCCCCACACACACACACACAAACTTCTTCCCTCTTTCTTCTATTAAATACATTATAATGTTTGGTCATTTCGATATGAACCTTGTGCTCCTCTTTGGTTCCTCTCTGTCCTTCAATTAAATTGTCTCTCATGTTCTTCCCTATTTTGTTCATCCCAACTGACCCCAGCTCATTCAGGCTTTAAGGTATCTCACTTAGGGAATGTCGACTGCTCCCCAGCGGGCCTCCCCACCTCTCCTTATTCCCACTCTAGTCCATCCCACACCCTGTGGCCCGATTACATTTTATAGTTCTGCTCCTTTCACATCACTTGTTTACTCAGAAAAGAAGTGGCTCCTCATTTTCAAGTGAATTAAGACCCTATCCAATTTAGTTCCAGTCTTTTACAACCACACTTTTATTACTTTCCTTCTACACATATTCTGTGATTCAACTCAAGACTTGAAGTTTTCCAAACACACCCTGTGCTTTCTTACTGATGTGTTTTTTACATCTGACATTCTCCTTAATTGGAACTATTCTTGTCCCTAGGATTTTTTAAAACTTCTCTTTTTTTTCTTATGAATGCTCTCTTAAAATAATAAAAGACCTTTTGGGGGGAAAAAGCTCTGAATGAATGACTGACTGACTGAATGAATGAATTAGTAAGCCAGCAAGCATACAACCTAATAGGTAATGAGCTCTTCAGAATCAACAAGAAAAGGTCAATTTGTCTCTTCTCATTAAAAAGAAAAAAAGTGGCAAAATGAATAGAAGCTATAAATTGTCAACTAGATATGTAGAATTAGCAATATAAATTGATCAAACCTTTCTCAGGCCTATCACTTACGGTAGGCTGAGTTATTCTCTGTTTAAGATCTCTAGGTCAGACGAGACCCATATCTAGCCTGCCCCGGACTCACCAAACTATGTGTCCTATAAAGAGAAAAAAGTTCACATAAAGATGTCATGTGCTTGTCAAGCTGTTTGCACACGAAGGTCTGCCTGCTTCCAGGGCACACCTTGCTCTAATTCATGCAGATGTGCTGTGTGGGCTAGCAAGACTTTGACCAAGGCTTTGACCTATCAAAAGCCCTAGAAATATGTATAATCTTTCTAGGGACTTTTATCCTAAGGAAAATAGTAAGAACATGTATCCCTATGTTATTTAAAATAATTTGTAATAGCAAAAAACTGCAAAAATTTTGGTAGATGTCCAAAGGTAGGAACTAAGGTCAAATCAATTATGCTAGAGTCATAAAATGGAATAATATGCCGCCATGGAAAGCATATAGGAGGACATTTAGTGGTATTGGGAAATACTCTTGATCTGCTCTTAAATTACAAACAATGTGTTTCAAATGATATATAGTAAAATCTCAAATATGTAAACATAAATACACGAAAACGCACAGAAAAGCCTGGAAGGATATATATTAAAATGTTTGACTATGTCTGGGTGGTAGGATGGTAAGAGATTCTTTCAATTACTAAACATAATGAACATGGGTCTCTTTTGTAAAAGGAAAAAAAGACATAATAAAAAATGGTGCAACCTTACATGGCCCTGCTTCCATGAAGGCTTTGCTGACTTCCTCATGCTTTACTCCTTTGAATCCTGGGAACACTTTTGTTTGAAGAACTCTCTCACAATATGTTTTATTCCGCCTTGTATATAGATATCAGATATCAATGAGCAATTACCTATCATCTGGGCATTGCTCCCTGAGGTCCAGAACTCACCATTTCCTCTTTTTTAGTGTCTGTAACATAAATCCTTGCTAAGTTGCATCTACTGTAAATATCGACAAGAATGTAGTAAGTGGCCTCTGTAAAGAAGTAGGTGCAAAGTGGTGAAAGCTGTTTTCTGGTAGAGTGGGGCAGGCGTGGTGCAGTTCAGGCAGTGTGTCTACACCCAAAGTTCTGGCAGCAGGTACTGATGTGGCAGAAGAATTACCCTGAAGAATCTTGAGAGGTGACATTTTGAATCCAAGGTTCTAAATCCATGGTAAATCCGTGATTTACCTCGTAGCGTCTGCCTCAACCAAGTCAGATGCATTGTGTAGGAACAGGGCAATTTGTCTATGATGTATGGCTCTCATTGAAGAGAACTGAACCCCATGGAATCGACTGCGCAGAGGAAAAATCTTACCATAAGAATAGTTTCAAACTTGGAAATTGCCCCATTTAGGAAAAAATAAGATTTGTGTGGTGCTCTCCCAGTTTTCACTGTGCAAATGCATTTCACTCAACAAGAGTGTAGAATTATGTGATTTATGAAACTATCCCCTCCCTGTAGGAGCATAAGTGATGATTTTTGTGGTTAGTGGTGATGAGCAATTAGCTGAAGAAAGGTGACTCCTATTCCAAACTTCTTTCCACTTATGCCAGGTTTTGAGTCCAAGTCTAGGTCTGTGAAGTTTAAAGAAACCCATCTAGAGCCATGTCTCTTGAACTTGAATTATGCAACTTTCACAAGAGCTACTACCAGGCTGACTTGCTCAGCAGCATGTTCTCTTTTTCTAGATTAAAAAATAATAAAATAAAATAAAATAAATGCCAATACTGAGTCTGATAAAAAGTTTTGGAAAATAGGTATTATTCATGTGTTCTTCCAGTGTCGATTATGGTGGAGTTTTGTGGCATCTTAAATGTTGTTCCACCTTGGCCCTCAGACCAAAGCACTGCTTCCATTGTTTTTAAACTAGTAAAATAAGTATAGAAAGATGAAAAAAAGTACCTTGATCATGTAAAATGTTGTGATCCAATGAGGAAAACCAACTTCTCCTAGCATCTCAATAAAGTTTAAGGTCTTATAGGAAGAGGAAGGGTCCAGGGAATCCCTGAAACCGTAAGAAAATATTATATAGGTTAGATGTCTCCTGCTAAAGGTACAGACTTCACAGAACAGTGTTTTAAAGCCTCTCTGTAATGTTGCCGAACAAAGTTTATTGTTATGCCAGAGGTAATATTTTATACTGAGAATAAGACACAGTTTCTTCCTTCAAAGTGTTTATAGTCTAGTGGGAAAGGCATGCAAGCTAAGGGGGCAGTTTGTAAATTAATGTTGATAAATGCAGTGATAATGGTAAGTCCGAGGGGCTCTTGGTAACACCCAGGAGTCGATTGCTGGGACATAGGAAAAATCTTTGAAGAAGTGATATCTGTTTTGAGACTCGAAGGATAAGTATGAACAAGGAGGTGTGAGGACATTCTGGGAAAGGGTGGAAAGGGACAGTTTACATAAAAGTTTTACAAAAGCCCAGAGGCAAGACACAGCAGCCCGTTCTATTATTTTATGAAAGTTTGGGGGAAGGAATCAGAGATAGGGGGAAGGGAGAACTAAAGCTGGACATGTAGACAGAGGCCAGATCATAAAGTGCCTTGTAAAGCAGTTTTAGAGTTTGGAACTAGTCCTAATGGCAGTAGGAAAGATGGAATGTGAAGGAAAGCTGGCAGAGGCGGCTATGCGGAGAGACCTGAAGACTGCCTGAGATATGCAAGATACAAAGCTTATATTAAACAACTCAGGAGGAGAGCAAGCTAGACTGGAAAAGAAATTCGAGATGCATCTTATCTTTCAACATGCCTGAAGGTTTTGTCCCTCAAGGTGTTTCTCAGCTCAGATACTCTGTTAGGTATAGTTCTGGAGCTTGTCAAAAACTATACCCCATCATGATTCAGTAAATATGTGCGAAGACTAGCCGAACAACATTTGGAAAATGTTTGCAAATATGTGTGAAGAATTCAGTCACACACACACACACACACACACAAGCTTTAAGCTTCAGGGGAAGGTAGGTAAAGGCCTAGGGGAGGTTAATTGTTTCTTCCATTGCAGTGCCGCCTTATCCAGCACCTTCCACCTCATACCCATTGACGATGAGTTATCTAATCTAATTGCTACCATGTGAAGCTCAAACAAGAACTTTAAATTTAAGTAGTTTCATGTGTTCCTCCTATGCCCTTTTCCGTGGAAGTAGAGTGTCCAAGACCAAGACATACCTGACAATTTTTCCTTTGATTCATGAGGCAAAATATAATAGAACCTTGCTCAGGCCATCGCCAATCTAAATGCCAGTAAGACCAAAATGACATTGTGAAAGACACGGAAGCACTTCAAAGTAACCAGTCCAAGTTTAGGAATGGCAGAGGGGCACTGCTATGATTCTTAGTCAAACATACAATAAAAGATGCTTTGGAATTTCAACTGGAAAGGACAATTGGGAAGTATCATGTACTTTTGTTTACCATATCTTTTAGGAAGCAGGAACAGAAAAGAGTGTTTTCCCCCTGCCTGAACCACAAGATTTCTTTCTGGCTTCCCAAGTCAAGTTTGAAGACCTCATAAAAGACTTGAGAAAACTGAAGAGGCAACTAGAAGGTAACAAGAACTGTTCTGTTATTATGATAATAGCTAAAAAGATTTTTTAATGATTTAAGAGGATTATTTATGTGTGGCTCACAGATTGGAACTGGTGCCGAGTTCAGTTATGGCACCCTGCAGCCCTCCTGAAATTTTCCGTATCTGTGCCCTTTTCAGAGGCACAGATTTACATATCCCTCTCTTTTGCTAGTGTTAATTAGTGCTTGTATCTACACCTTGTTATATCTACATTTTCCTGCATATAATAGACATAATTTTAATAATAATAACAGCAACCTTTTATCGAATGCTTGCTATTGTCTCCTATGATTCTTAAAACAACCCTATACTAACTCCATTTTACAGATGAGAAAAATGAGGATTAGAGAGGTTATATTTACACAGCCAGTGAGGGGCAGATTTACTGAGCTCTAATCATGTCTACCTGATTAGAACTCATGCATTTTCTAAACTAGTTTTATGCTGTCTCTCTCTCTCTCTCTCTCTCTCTCTCTCTCTCTCTGTCTGTCTCTCTCTCTCTCACACACACACATCCCTATTTATTTGGTTTATCTGTATGAATCTAATAATGATGGCAAGACCCATAGTCAACCTTCTATTTCAGTTTAATTTACATTTTTAATTATACAAAACAAAATGCCGAAAGCCCTTTTTGGCTGTTTCAAAAGGTGAAAATATGTCTCTTTTGGGCAGGAATTTTCCCTTGGCATTTCTAGAGTCTTGTGTTTTCACTGTGGAGACATCTCCTTGTCCAAGAATATAAATACTTGCGTTGGAGCTTGTATAACTCCAATTGAAGAGCTCTACGGAGGATTTAGGGAGCGTGTTAATGTGGAAATGGAGCCCAGAGTGCCAAAGGGAGAGCTTGAGGAAATGAAGAGCTTGAACCAGGAATATTTTTACACTAAGACATAAAATAAACATTTTCAAAATGTTTATTGTGAAAGAGTGCTCAGAAACCTAAGTCTTAGACAGAGAACAGCTTGGAAATAGAAGTAAAGTGGGAAAGATCTGCTCCTAGTGGCAGGGAAAGCCATTTATTTTTTACTTTGGGCATAAAACTTGCTTAACTCAGGATAGTGGTTACAAGTGAATATTTTTACCTTGTAAATTATTTTTAAAGGAACATGTGGATTTTCCCCCCTCCTGTTGATGTGGTTGAGAGCATGAATTCAACTAAATGAATGCTTTGTCCAGGAATGTGATACGTGAACTTATGGTTATTGTTTTCCCTTTCAAAAAAAAATGACAGTTTCATCCTTGTCTAGGAGGAGGAGCTTGAGCCTTATTGTAATAAAGCAGAATAAGTCATCATGTAGCAGTTTTCTCTGTCCCTCTCCAATGGCAGAGTTAAGGCCCAGGCCAGCCATCCCGGTGGCTGTAGTGGCAGTGGAGACTCATGTCGGTTCACTCCACGGTCATCCCTGAATTCCCATCTCCACATCTCTTGGCCCTTGGAAACCCATGGCCTGCCCTCCCATGTAGCCTTTTGAGCAGACACCTGAACTGTGGTTGATCTTTCCTCCTCTCCTGCCTTCCTTCCAGGGAGGCGCTGCCTCTTCAGGCACCCTGGCTCGGCCACCTCTCTTTGGCGTTCCTGTGCGTTTGATGATACATAACAAAGGGATGAGAAGAGTGAATTAGGAGGACAGTGGACAAGCAGGGGTTCCCCCCAAAGCTTCCCACTTTGGTATACCTTGTTTTCTCCAAGGAGATCCTAGATGTCATTCCAGATCCCTCAGTACTCGACTAACACTTTCCTCAGTCAGTTGTAAGGAAACGTCAGCTCTTCTGAAGGAAAACTGAATATCCCCTCTGTTATTTTTCTCCTTTGTATTGGACTTCGCCAAAAGATGTGAAGTACCGTAAAGGCAAATGAGAGAACCGGGACGCCCCCCACACACATTGAATATTTAAACAAAAATGCCCTGCTAATCTTGAGGGATGCCAGTGTTTTTCACACATGAAAGGTACCTAGTAAATATTTAAAGAAAAATACAGACCATTGGTTCTCTAATGAATTTCTTTTTCTTCTAAATACCATCTGGCAAGATGGCCAGAGTCGTGGCGGTCCGTTTCATCTCACAGTCCCATTCAGGTTTCGCCTCCTTTTCCATAAGGCCTTGGTGTGAGCCTAGATTGAATGTTTAATTGAAGAGGACATAATTTTCACACATACAGCAAAGATTTGATGAGGCTTTGAGGTTTATTGTAGCCATTAAAATGTCGTGGCTGCTGGCAAAACCCCAGAAAATGTCTAAAGCTAAACCAGATGTGATTAGCAAATTTCAAGAAGTCCCAGGCCCCGGCTCTCCCAGTGAGCACGGCCCTTTAGAAGAAAATTGTTTCGAGTAGCATGAACCACACCTTAAAAAATAAAATGTGAATTAAACTGTGGTTGTTGGTTGTATAAATGTCACTGATATAAGTAGGAGTTGTCCATAAGCATCTTTCGTAGGGACAAGAACTTTGACTAGCACTTTTATGTAGGTAAACACAGCAAGGGACTGGTGATAATACTAACAACTCCAATTTGTTGCGTGCTTATTATCTATGAGGTACTTTACATGTACCATTTCTTTTAATCCTTACAATGACCCAATTAAGCAGATGTTAAGTTATTACTGATCTGTCATGAGAGGAGGAAACTGACCATTATGGCCTTCACGTACCTTGCTGAGTGACTTCACAGGTGATGACTGAGGCTAGATATATGTCTCTAAGCCATGTGTTCATGATATACCCTGCCTGCAGCCCGGAAGTCTTCCATATTATATCAGAGATCAAAACACAAAGATACATAGTCAAGGTATAAAGCTTCATGGAGATACACATGAAAGAAAGAGGGTCACACTGAACGTGGATGCATGAGTGCAAGTGTGCGCACACATGTATGGAGACCTTTAGATCAGAGAGACAGGAGAGAATTTGCTTTGGGTTGGGGGTAAAGAAGGGGAAGATATTAGGAGAGATGGGTTATAAAAGTGAGTAGACACAGCATCACGTAAGTGTAAGGCCTCAGGCTTCAGAGTCAGATCTGTATCTTTTACAGCTGTGGTGGAAACAGGATCTTGTCGAGTGATGTAACTGTATAAAGTATTCATTTTCTGACCTGTAAAATGGGACAATTACAGCACCTATGCCATAGGAAGTAATGAATGCACAGTCCCTTAGTAAGGAAAGCGTCAGTAAAGCTGAATAGGGGTATAGACCTTTTACTGGAAAACGCACACTTAGTAGCCCATATTGTTGACAGGCCAACTGGCTGGGTTTGTGGAGAATCTAATTCCCAGGGCACTTGTGCTCTCTTCTGTACATTGTGAAGACAGAACTAGTTCTAGGTGCTTGAGAACGTGTTCCGTATTTTGTTTACTGTTCTATTGTACATCCCTTAACGAGACAATAATTTTGATTTCCCTGATACTGTGATGTTGTAAGTAATAGTTGGGGGAAAAGCAAGCAAACAGTAGGAATAGTTACACTCTTTCTTATCCCTCGACCTTGTTTGCTGGCCAAAATTCTGAAGGTATTCTTACCAACCAATGTGTGGCAGGCAGAATAACGGCTCCCAAAGATGTCCAAACCCTGATCCCTGCAATCGGTGAATATATTGCCTTACATGGCAAAAAAGGGACTTTGCTGACATTGAGATGGGGAGATTATCCTAAACTAGCCAAGTGGTCCTAATCTAATCACACAAATCTTTGAAAATGAATCTTTAAAAGCTGAGAACTTTCCTTGCCTATGGTCAGTGGGAGACAGTACAGTAGAATGATGAGAGAGATGCGTTGTTGCTGGCTTTAGAAATGGAGGAAGTAGGCAGTGAACCAAGGAATGCGGGAAGCCTCAAAAACTGGAAAAAACAAGGAATAGATTCTCCCTAGAGCCTGCAGAAAGGAAGGCAGCCCTAGCAACACCTTGATTTCAGTCTGGTGAGACCCATGTCAGATTTCTATAGGTAACATGTTTGTGTTGTTTTAAGCCATTTAAGTCTGTGATAATTTGTTATAGTAAGAATAGGAAACAAACATACCATGCAATGTATCCTTTCTGATTGTGTCAGTTTAATACCAGACACACACATGCACCACTGCTGAGGCCATAAATGTAGGATTTTTCAAGTATTGGCAGTCACCAGTATTACAGGAAATGTGAATTAGTGCTCTCCAAAAAAAGAGTCTGTAGCTCAATAAACCTGGAAATGCGCTGTCCTAAAATCATATCATAGAGGTTCACAGTGCCCATGAGCTTATTAAAGATTCTGAAAAGTCCTGCAGTAAAAAACAAAACAAAATGGTTTAACTCTGTTTAAAGCAGCATTTCTCAACTTAAAACATTGTTTTATTTTTTTTCCTTTCACTGAATACTTAATATTATGTTGCAGAACATGCATTCTGTGAAATGTAGTTTAAGAAGTGCCGTTGATATTACTGTCAAATTTCTAATGTAAAGACACAATTGGTTAAATGGTCATTATTAGATGACCTTAACTGGAGGAGCTGTGATGAATAATTATGGCCTTTGCCCTTTAATATTGCTCTTAATACCATCTGGCTACACTGTTCTTACTGTTATCCATGTAAACAAACAGAGTGGGTCAAATCCTCTTTGACGTCTTGATGCCTGAAATCTAAAATGAATAACATTAGTGTTATTCAAAATTACTCTAGTGTCTCCACCCACAAATCCACATTTGTTTGACATGATCCTGTGACAGTATTTTATTATAAAAAATTCATTCTTGCTATGAAAGTAGGAAGGTTAATTTTTTTGTTGGAAAATGAAACAGGAGCGCTTCAAATAGGTGTTGAGAAGTCAACTTATTCTGAAAAGTTTAAGAATAAAAATAAATTGCCCTTATTAGCTAACAATAGTTATTTAGTATCCCCTGTCATTGAGGAAGGGCTATTTAATCAACTAGTTGTGTACTAAATCTTGCCTTGAAAATGATGCATTATTAGCCCTGTTATTATACATATAAATTGGGAAAATGTAAT